ATTGAAGCTTTTGAATTCAAATTCTGATCAGGAACAGTGTGTTTTAAGTCTGAAATGTATTGCTGGTCATTCTATTGCCATTCAAAAGGRGTTTTCATGGAGTTAGAATAACAATAACAGCTCTGTATARAGTGATTTTACCAGCTGGCAGAAAGACAAAACAAACATCCAGGACAACCACTTACTTGGTATGGATAGAAAGAAGTTTTAGYTGCACCATTAAATTCTTCCTCTTCTCTGCATTGTCGAGCTCGCTTTCTTCCAGTTCATCAGGACTTTCAGCATCGTATCCATCCTCTGCTAAATCACCATTACCGTTTTCCTGGCCAGTATGATCAGCACTCTTCAACTGAAACAACTTGGCCTTGATAATGACAAAACTTAACAGAGATTGAGCAAGCTGAAAGTCRGTGACAGACGTAACATGRGCACAACCTTCCTCTCTATTTTGGTGTAGTAGAAGGACGTAAAGAACCTGAAAGGCAATGTTAACATGATCAATGAATAACTTAAAAAATAAATTTATAAAATAAGCAAAAAGTAGTGTTTGTTGAATAATGCCTGTTCAAATCATTGTAGCTCTACAATAAACTTATCTAATATCTCATAAAAATATATATTACAATACGGAGAACGACATCAACGGCGCCGCACACTCCTTGACAGTCCTTGTTATTTTTTTTAATAAATTTTTTAAATATCTTTTCATGATTGTTTATTTAAGCAATAAACAATAGCTTGAAGGGGTTTACTGGCGAAATAAACCACTTGGGATAGTTGGGAGAACACGAGAAAAGATCGGTGTTCGAGTGTTCTCCAAACCATCCCAAGTGGTTTATTTCACCAGTATTGATTTTATATTATAGCAGGCGTCTGCCATTTTGACTCAAAAGTCTTTCAAGATAGCAGGCTGGTTTGTTGGTGAAATAAACCATAGCTTTTCTCATGAAATCCGGCAATCAGCACGTGTGTTAAAATTGAGCTATAATATACAAATTGTTGGTGTTGATGTTTGCTAAATATGTTTGTAGATCTTTTTATCTTAAAGTGGTTATATTTAATAATACAGTATAGTGTGGTATACAGCCTTTTGCAAAAATTATGAGAAATGTTGAAATATCTAAATATCATAATATCCATATCCATATATTGTCCGGAACACGCAGGTTTGCTAGAATAATTCATTGTTTACATCGAGAAAATGTTCAGAACTACGGATAAGTCCGTCGTCAAAAAAAACCTAAACTACAAAGACAAGGGACTAAGGGAATCGCGCGGGATTACCCATCATGCACTCGATATTATGATATTTAGATATTTCAACAATTCTCATAATTTTTGCAAAGGGCTGTATATTTAATAATAAAAACAAAATAAAATAAAGACTCCTCAAGTTGTAATAAAAAATAGTAAAGTATCCCCCCTCTGGATTTCATGTATTTTTGTTGACATGTAATTTTGCATTTAATAAAAATAAAATAAGTTTATAGTGATACAAGAGTAGCAACTTACATTTCTTCCAATGTCAGAGAGTACCAAGTATCTTGCTGTTATATCAAGCTGCATTTTTAAGTAAGACCCTCCAAGTACACTGCAGGAAAAAAGCAACAATATCGTCAACAACAAAGGTAATGTAACAAATTGCAATTATGTCCTTTATTCTTCTATGTAACAGACTACAGATATGTCCTTACTAAGTTCTGGAAGTTAGCTAACGTCTTTAGGCACACTTCTCAGAGACCGAATCTCGACAACTCTCTGGCAGTACAAACCAGCCCCAAAATCACACTCTCTCAAACACGACCATGCTTTTTATCCGAAACTTAGCCTTTCCCACAGGACAATCACACACGAAAACATTCACGTGAATACAACACAAACACATATCAAATCGCCCAGTCTACAGTAACAAGATCTGCCACAACAATATCAGCAGAATCAATGATGACATTAGCATTAGCAACAGCAACAAAGTTACAAACAACAGAGGCAACAAAATCATCAATGGGCACGATAATAACATTATCAACAATGGAGACAACATCAGAAGCAACAATGGCAATATCAGACGCAATAATGGCAAAACATCACCAATATCACCAACAAAAGTAAAAAGAAGATTATCAGCAACAACGGCAACAGCAACAACATCAGCAACAATGGAAACATGGCAAAAACATCAGCAACAATGGAAACATGGCAAAAACATCAGCAATACCATGAAAAACCACATTAACCCTTTAACAGGCATGCGGACGAATTCGTCCGCTAATCGACCACTCTCTTTTAAAAAATTCCCTTTTCTCAGTTAAGTGACCAAGRTGGTAGCAATGYCTTGAGTGTGTTGTTTAGGACATTACCTGGCTGCTACATTCTAAACTAAGACTTCTGCACAGATTTATGGGTAATTGCGTATTTTTTTGACAAGAACTAACCCGTACTCTGGATTTTTAATATTTCTTTTAAGTACCAAGTCATGCGGTCCTACCCACAAAATATTGAGCCGATTGCTTTTTTGGAAGTCCAAACTTGCCGAAATTTGCATGGTAGGTCGCAAAATCAAACACAAGACAGCCAGGGAGTCGATTTCACTCCAATGGCGCCATCRGCTTTAAACYAACTGACGATCGCCATTTTCTTCGCAAAATCGCTTCCCACCTCTGATTTCTTCCAGAAGAGCGCCTCTGCCGGCTAGCCAAGCTTAATAATGCAAGTCTARGGGCTCTTGTGCTTGAGTATGACTTTAAAAAACACTTAAAAACCAAGTTTTTCTGTGTTTTGAACGAGCTGTTCGCTATTCAAAGACACAAGCAAAAACTTAGCAGGCATCCCTCGAGAGTTTGAATGTTTGGCTATGTAAATCAGCATCAGTTCCCTTGACAACCGTGAAATCAGTGCTGAAATCGTTTTTTTAAGCCTTTCATCTTTAAATCGGTTAAAAATTCCCCAGAAATTTGCGTATTAAAGGGTTAATAAGATATAAACAACAATAGCAACAGCATCAGCAGCAACAACAACATCAGTAACAGTGGCAACATCATTAATAAATATTGTAAATAAGTTGTCAGCAATAACCACGTCATTAGTGTCAGCAGATATGGCTAGTCATATCCCCTTGAGATTTACAAATTTTACCTTTCTATATCTGCAGTTGGRCTTGTAAACCTGAGCCAAGAAAAAGGGTTTAATTTCACAGCAGACTGATACATATAGTAACATGAAATACAAGAAACATCAAATAACTTGAAAAGGCTGCACCTCATGTCTCTTTAAGAATGTTAATGGAGTTTGACTAGCAAACACACACAAAAACCAGCATGTTCACTGCAGACATCCATTGAACATTTCTCTTTGCCCTCTATCAATGGTTTGAATCTACTGACACCAGAACAAACCAAAACCACTGGGCAATACTAGTGAAAATTGTAATCGTAATATTGATGATGGTGATGACAAAGGTGATATTGATGAATAAACTTGACATCAAAAATGGAAGAGCAGAGATGGTGATGAGGATGCCAACAATGAAAATCTTGTTTTTTGTGATTCAGGTAGCCAGAATTTAATTGCTTCCCATTAAAGCCAGACCAAATACTATGAGCTTGGTCCACTAATTGCTGTCATTACATGTAGGTTGCTGTCAAATCACCCTTAGTCTATTTTACAAGTCAGATTTGACTACCTCAATGACTGTAAACAGGTCCACTTCACAGTACACCAAATCTTGATCTCCCTGTTGTACTCTGCACCAGTTATCATAAACCTCCACATTGGAACACTAACAAAGAAGAATACATATTATTTAGTATTAATAGCATTTATTAATATTATTATTTAGGTTAAATATCTATATTTATTATAGAGTTTGCTGAAGAAGGCCAAAGTGCCGAAACGTTCTAATAAAGAGTAGGAATACTAGTTGCAAGTTGTGTGCCTTTTTCTTCAATTTCTTCTATTTATATTTATTATGTCTATATATATGTATCCATGAACCTTCATATATGAAAATTTTCCATATTTCATTTTAATCAGCTTGAAAGCTACTTCTAAAAGAAGTTATTTGCAAAATAAAAGAAATAGTCACAAAGGTTCTTGGAAGCGAGGACAAGCAATACTAATTTCCCTATTTTCCTCGTCATCATCATCATCATCATCATCATCAAGAACTTACTCTTTTTCATGTGATATATGGTTGTCACAGAACATTAACGACGACAGCGGTGCTCCACCATGGGGCTGGAACTCATGCAAGCATGGGTGGTCAGAGTTTGGCATCATCTCTGATACCTGCCAAAACCTGACATATCCATCTTCACTACCTGTTGCTAGGACACCGTTGTCAGGTGAAAGGGACCCATCTGTGATTGTCTGGGAAAATATCAAAATTCATTTCTTTACTCCAATGAAGAATTGTCCAAAACGGAAGTAAGTTGTTTCAGCTATTTTTTTATAATTTTTTATAAATTTATATTTTTACACAACTGTTTCTTTAGAAACACCGACGCAGCTCACACTAGTTTACCACTAGTTTCCACCTTTTTAAAATATCAACTAAGTCAATCTGTAAATTATGTATGCAAGGGGGCCTGCAAAATGCCCCCTTTCTAAATTTAAGGTAACTCACATAGTTTCCATGACAAAATGGATAAAAATCAAATACCTTGGTGTGACCATCAATGATAGACACATAGCCCTCTCCTTGACGCAGCATTTCAACATCAACCTCATTGCAGTCGCATCTTGCTATCACCATGGCAACATCAATGACTTCTACCTGTCATATCCCAACAAAATGAATCAATGGATTAAATGATTGGAATCAACCGTTCCCAGGTTGAACATCTTAGCAAGATTCATGGAAGATCATGATCATGCATAATCTTACCATGATCTTACCATGATCTTACCATGATAATACCCTGATCTTGCTAAAAAACATGCAACATCTTTGTATTTCTTGTGTAATACAGTATCATAGTCTACATAGTGTGATAGTGTATCGTGTGCGGTACAGTATCATAGTGTACCTAGTGTGATAGTGTACCTAGTG